CCAGGAGTTCCCTGCTGTTAAGGCCAAACTCAGGCGCCTCGAGAGGGGCCCCTAACGCCCCAAGCGGAGGTTCTGGGAGTGGGCAAGGATGGCCGTGGGCCTGAGCCTAAGCAGCTCCATGTTAAAGCTCCAGTGTGAAACTGCAGTCTCCCCAGGCCCACCCACGGAGCCCCCCAGTGTGGCCCTCAGCACAAACACGTCACTTCTGCCCACCCTGACAAGCTCAGAGTGAAGCCCCTGGCATGTCGCCCTCGCCCCGTAAGAAGAGCGAGAAGCAAGAAAATCAGGGTGGGGCCACCAGACCAGAGGCTTTAACCTCAGGACAGATGACGTCMCTGAGAAGTCCAGTAGTGGCCCATGGGGACTGGAAGGGGGGTCAGAAACCCCAAAATTTAGCATAAATGGTGGAGCCAGTGAGCAGACACTCAGCGCTGACACGGGTGCCCTCACCTGGGAGCCTGGTGRGGACCTGGGCCGACACCCCAGCTCTTCTCATCTGCCTGGTCCTCTGCGTTGTCCTCACCTCTTGACCCTGGTGAGAGCCGCSACTTCTCCCCAYGACCCTCTCCTCCACCAACTGGCCGCCAGCTCCACCCCAGGAGAAGCCCGCCTTGGCTCCTGACCTGATCTCCGTGGGCGGAGCGAGTGGGCACCTGCTGGACTTAGAGCCCAGGCTCGAGACTTTAGATCTTCACTTGAACTTATCACTCGGAGGGAGTGTCTGTCATGAGCCTGTCATGAGTAAGTGTGGGAATTTGCTGTGGATTGATTATGGGTTGCAGTGCCCAGCATTAAGGATTATCATTTTCTGGATTAAGAACCTATCGAGTGAAGCTGTATGGAGTGATCTGAGTGAATAAAGCCTTGAAAAGGGCTGAAGCGTGTGGACTTTCTTTATTTCTGCCCCCCGACTGCCATTTTTCCCATTCTGACAGAGTGGCCTTTAAGGTGTGTAACGGAGAGATGAGRAGGCCCTGAAGCAGAAATCTCAGATGCTCGCTCAAGCCATCCGTCGGCCTCAGCGTCTGTCCCTGGTCCGCTGGCCTGTGGGAGGGTCCCTGGGGACTGCCCAGACCCTGTTTCAAATGTGGTCAGAGGAGTTACTGGGATTGTACATGTCCCAAGCCTCACAAGCCTCTGGGCCCTTGTCCTAGATGCCATCAGGAGGGACACTGGGCTTTTGACTGTCTCTGAGCCCACAGTGGCCCCTGGCCATCCAGCCCTCTGGTCCCCTCTCCGACTCTCAGGACTGGCACAGAGGACGGAGGAGGCCAGGTCCCCAACACCCGACCACTCCCTTCACTCCGTGGGAACCGGGGTGACTCTGCGTACTCCAGGTGGCCTGTCCCCTTCCTCCTGGACACCCGGCTACAGACTCAGTCCTCGGGAGATCTGGGGACCTGCCGCTGATTCTGTGACCTCTATTGTGGGGTAGAGGGCAGACCTCGCCAGCCCTTGCAGACACCTGGCCTTCTTGGTGCCTTTGTCTAGTGTCACCCACTCCTTTTTGGTCATTCCACAGTGCCCTGTCCCCTATGGGAAGGGACATCCTCACAAAGTTGGGGGCTACGCTTTCCTTGTCCCCTCATATGGGCTTCCATCCAGACTCGCCTGCCACTCCCCTGCTCCTCGCCCTGACCTTAGGGCCACCCCCTGTTCCATCTGCCAGGGCCTCCCCATTGTCCCCTTCCGAGGGGGACCCTACTGTCCGGGATGTTCCAGGTCCTTCCATCTCCTCACACCACAGCCCACTCACACGGTCTCAAAGGCCCCCTCCCTTTCTGCCTGGTCACACTGCCCGCTCTCCCAACGAGAACTCCTGGGCTTGAGCCTGTCACCCAAGACCCTGGGAAAGGGGTCCCTAGACCTGCTCATCCCCTGAAACACCCCCATCTCGGCTCCTTGTGCCTGGTCCAAGACCTGCTCCACCAACTCTGTGGCCGTCCCAATCCGTCCCGTGGTCCTTCCGGGACCTGGTACTTCTCACAGCACCCTGCTCCCCGTCACCTGGGAACTCCTCACCCCCCGTCACCTGTTGTCCCTACAGGTGTCTCTGGTGGAAGATCCAGCCTGACTCTCCACCTTTGACCCTGCTGCTCCCCTCCCGCTCCTCAGGCCCTTCCCCTCTCCTCCTCTCACCCATTCCTCATTGAGACTCTGTCTCCCACACAGGAGGCCCCTGCTCCAGGCCACGGGGTCCACAGATGGCTCCTCCTTCCTTCAGGAGGGACTTCGTGGGGCGGGGGATGCCGTGGTCTCCGACCTCGGCCGTGGAAGCGGCTCCCTCCCGTCCCACGTCCACTCAGCAGGCTGCAGGGCCGCCCTCGTCGGAGCCTTCACTGCGGCCAAGGGAGCCCCCTCCACCTCTGCCCGGGCTCTGAACTCGCTGTCCCCACACTCCCTCACTCTGCTGTCTGGAAGGAGCGAGGTTCCTTTCCACCAAGGGAACCTCCATTCCTAATGCCCTTTACCTCCCATCTCCTCAGGCCTCKCGCTGCCCTGCCCCTGGGGCTGGCCGCTGAGAACCCCCTCTGCAGGCCACCTCCTTCCTGGCCTCTCCTCGCCACAGGCCTCCGGCGGATCCTGCCCCCGGTCACTAGATTTACTCAGGGCCAGATTCGAAGGCTCTGTCACCAAACCGGGGACCAGCGTCTGTCACAGGACCCCCCACCCTCGGAGTCAGCGTCCCCGGCACCTCCTGACCCTCACCACTGCCCCAGGGACACCGCGCCCCTGACAAGGGTCCAGACGCCCCCCTTCCCAGCAGGAAGAAGCGACAGAAGATGGATCTGCGCCCTGTCCCTTAAGGGGCCCAATAACCAACAAAAAGGGGGGATGTGAGGTCCCTGCTCCGCATCTGGACGGCCGTCTGAAGTGACAGCCGACATCTGAAGGAAAAGTCCCGCTGTCCCGCCCGAGGGCCTTCCTGAGAAGGGCTCCCCCCCAGTACCAACCCCCCAACCTCCCGCATCAGGACCCACCGGCTCTGATCCTGGGGCTGCCCCCTAGAGGCCCGAGCCCCCAGCCCGCGGGGCCTCTCTCCGTCTGGGGAGAGGTGACCTGGATCCGTAGGCGCTGACAGAGGAACTCCACGTGGCTCTGCCTGGTCTCGGTCCTTCCTTTCTCGCTCGCCGTCTCCCGGTTCCTCACTTTCCTTTCCATCTTGGGTCCCCAGGGCCTGGCCCACTGTGAGCCCAGGCAAACGCGGGTTCCAGGAGGGCACCGGGGTGCCCGTGAGCAAAGCCGTGCGCTCCCCTTCCACGGCTCCCTGCGCCCCAGACTCTCCTCCTCTGCCTGTCAGGGTCCCAGCCAGGCCCAGGCGGGCTCTGTCCCTCTCCTTCCCAAATCTGGAAGCTTCCTGAGGGCAGAGAGCATGTGGCCTGGTCCCAGTCACGGCCTGGGGTGTGGTATTTGCTTAAAAGCTGTTTGTTCGGATAACGCCGAGTGGACGCCGCTGCAGGGTGGCTTCCAAAACCCCAGCCTCCATCCCCCAGGGTCTCTGAGAGCTAATCCTCTTCCTTCCCCTTTGGCTCCTATTTTCCAGAAAATGGGTCTCGTGGCCCCACGCCGAGGGGAAGATGTGACGCTGAATAGAAAACAAAAATAATCTTCGTCTCCTGCCTGAACCTGTAAGCTCAGGCCCAAGATCTCCTGGAGGAACACGTGGCCCCAAGGTTTTGCAGGAAATGTGGAGGTTGAAAAGGCTTCTCTGGAACTGTCAGAAGAGAGCCAAAGAGGAAAAGTGCATATGGTCGTGGTTCCCAGGGAAAGAGGTTCCCATCTTTATGCGCCCCTTGGCCAGGCTTGGAGATGGAGTGCACAACCCACACAACCCTACAGGGCAGCCCTGCTCATGTTTTTCTACCTGTAGAATTTGGCAAATACTCGCTGAAGGAGGACCAGTGGCTGGGGCTCCCCGCTGCCCTGATTCTGCCCAGCCCTGGTCTGGATGCCAGCGCAGGGCGGCGGGGACGGGCATGTTCACCTTCAGGTCCCTGCACTGACCACATCCGAGCCGTCAATCAGATGGCTCTACAGAGCATAAAATTGTCCCCCAAGTCTCAGGAGCGAGACCCCCAGCCTCTCCCTCGCTCCTCCAGGGCAGAAGGTGCCCCCAGCCTGCAGCACCAGGAAGCAGGGGCCCCTCTGAGGCTGCCGTCCAGGGCCTGGTGAATGGCTATGTGGGGCTCCAGGTGTCCACACCAGCCCTCAGTGGGCCCTGCTCAGTGGCCTGAGCGCTGGCTGGCCTGAGGTTGGGGCCCGTCGAGGCAGACACTGGAGGCGGGCACGAGGTCACCATGCTGGGACCCTCTGGAGAGGGACAGAGCTCAGCCCTGGAGCTGTCCACCGATGACACCGAGGGCTGGTGGTGTCAGGGTCCTGGGCTCAGGCACTGGCTCAGGGTCCAGCCCCTAGGCCCTGGCCTGTGCCCCGCCCTCAGCCCCACATCAAGATCCGTCCCGGCAGGGACACCCCCTCTGCTGCCCGCACCCTGGGGCTGGTGGACRAGGATTTGTCCCCTGGCCTGCGCTTGCGACTTGCTCCCCACCGGTCTGTCTTTTCTCTCTGACCAGAAGGTCAGCGCCTGCCACTGCTGGCCGCCTGGCTGGGCCCCGGGCCAGAGTCCCTGCCGCTGGCCAGGCTGCGGCCTCCCCGCCAGCTCTGCCACTTGCTGGCTGGTGACCTTATCATGTTGCTGAGGCTCTGGCCACAGTGACCATCTCCTCCCTTGTGCCCTCTGCTCTCGCCATTCCCACAGCCCGTGCCCTGGACGCTGACCCCGCATTGCCAAGGTCACGGCTGCTGGATGCCGGCTCTGGACCCAGCCCCCAGGCTCAGGCTGTGGTCTTCCCTGCAACTCCCCGGGCCCCGCCTGGGCTTGTCCCTCCCCAGGGCCTCCCCCCTCAAGGTGGCCATCGCAGGGTTCCCTCCCCATCTCCTGCTGGGCGGCGGGTGGGCGCCTCCCTCACTCTGGGACGGACCAAGGCCAGGCACAGACCGAGAGGTTGCAAGTGTTTTATTAAAACCAGGAGGGTCAGCCCATCCCGGAGGCCATGCGTGCCCAGGAACCTGGCCGCCCCCACTGCCCGGGCTTCCCCCTCACAAAGGGACATCTGTAGGTGAGGGGTCAGAGACTCCAGGCAGCGGGGGGCTGATGGCTGGCTCTGGGGTTCAGGGGAGGGAGGAGAAGCGGCTGGGGGGCTGGGGGAGCTGCGGTGGGATCTGGCCAGAGAGACACGAGGCCACCCAGCCCGGCGGCTGCGGTCAGCAGGCCACGATGGCCGGTTCCCAGGGCGGTGACACTCCTCTGGGGCGCCCACCGGCCGCCTCCCGGCCACCTCCCCTAAGCAAGCGGTCACACCACACACACACACGCAGTACTCGGCCACCACGGCCCTCGGTGCCCACCCAACCCGGGGGCCCAGGCCGCCTCGGGGCTCAGCCCTGGAACCCCAGCTCCTTGTACTTGGCCGCGATGTCGTTCCGGAACAGCTCCAGCGCCTTGCGCATGGCGCCCTGGGCCGCGTCATTGAAGTCCCCGGAGTGCTTGCTCTTCAGGACCTCGATGATGGCTTCCGAGATGAACTGTGGGGAGGGACACGGGGCGCTGTCATCGGGTGGCCGGGCCCAGGCGGCATCGCGGCTCCCCTGACTCCAGGCCGCTCCCCAGCCCTCGCTGTGCACAGGCAGGATCCTGGGTGACCGCCAGGAGTGTCACGGCCACCAGGAGACAGGTGCCACCACCACCGCGTCACAGCGGGGGACACCGAGGCCTGGGGCCGGGAAGGGCGGGTGGAGTTCTGCTCCCCCCTGCCACAGGCCAGGGCCGGGCACCTCCATGGCCAGCAGGAAAGGCCAGGCCTCGGCTTCAGATGTCACCAGGTCGCAGCCGTGGAACCCAGGGGCACGACTTCCCGCTGGCCCAGTCCAGTTTGGCTCTTGGTGGCCTGYGGTGGCTGCTGCTTTGAGGCCCCAGTTTTCCTTCTTTATCTTTCCTGCTGCTGGGATGGACCCGGGCCTCGTCTGCCCGGCCCCAGGGACCCTGTCCTGGGGGCTAAGATCAGTGCCCCCACCCCCAGGAGACRGACAGCGGTGCCCGGGGCTGGCTGGGGGACCAGAGGCCCCAGGGGAGCGCCCTGGGCTCTCTCCACAGGGAACCAGGGCTTGGTCCCAGCCCCGCCCTTGGCCCAGCCCCCAGTGGTGACATTTGACAGGAGACAGCCAAGCGGCCAGACTGAGGTCACACAGCAGGTGGATGGCAGAGCCCAGCAGGGACCAGGAGGGGGTGGGGACTGGCGGCTGCCAGGGCCAGAGGGAGGCGGGTCAGGGGCGGCTGGCTCTTCCCTGTCTCAGGCCCAGGGTGAAATGCCAAGGGCAGGGCGGGGGGGGGCACCCAGAGGACACCCTGGGCCAGACACAGGGCCCCTGCCCCCGCCTTGGGCACCAGGGAGACAGGGCGAAGTTCACCTTGAGTTTCACAAATTCAAGACAAAGTCGGAGGACAGGGTGCCCCGAGATCTGGGGCCGTTTCTCCCGGTCAGCGCCTCCTCTCCTTCCCCCCTCCCCCAGGGGCTCAGTCGCCCCCTCCCCCCAGCCTCTCTGGTGCTGGAGGCGGAAATTCCCTGGGGAGAGAGATTGGCGATGACACAGCCAGCAGGTACCATGACAGGAACCAGGACAAAGTGACACTGGGTGGGGTGCAGATGAAGCAGCTGACTTGCCCCATGGGCCTGGGGACCCCAGGAGGCTGCTGACCCTGAGCCCCCAGTCTCCTAATGAGAAGTGTCCCTGCCTGGGGCAGAGACTGCTCCTCGCCTGCCAATCTCTCTCTCCCCTCTCCCCCACTACCTTTCCCAGCTCTCCGGGCGGACCGCCATGACTAACTTGTGGCCAATGAGATATCTACAAAAGTGTTAGATGAGACCCCGGAACCCCTTAAACGTCTCAAAAGGGAGTCTTCTCTCTTTCTGTTTCCTGTTTGGAATATGGATAAAGTGGGTGGAGTTCTTGCAGCCATATTGAGCCATGAGGCCACTTTGAGGATGGATACCACAGGCTAAAGATGGCAGCTTGGAGGACTAAGCCCAGACCCCAGGTGACGGCACGGCCCACACTGGGTCTGAACTCTCTACCTCTGGATTTTTTTTTTTATCCAAAAGGAAAAGAAGACGCGGGATGCAGTCCCCACTCCGAGGGTGTCACTTGTGAGAATTCCAAGGTGTGGCCCAGGCGAATGTCAGCACAGCCTGTCCTAACTGGTGGCTGCCATCAGAGCATGCACCTGTCTGCAGGTGTCCCCAAGCTCCCGTCCCCATGTCCCCTGCTGCACTGGCCATGAAGGCAGAACCAGAGCCCAGCGCCGGCCYTCGGCCTAGCCCAGCTCAGGAGGCCACCCTCGGCTCTGCCCAGGGCTCGGGGCTCTCTCCACCTGTGAAGATTCGGGGCCTCTGAGAGGGCATCTGGGAGCGGCACCCTCAGGGCTCAGCCCCCCTTGTGGGGAGGGGACGCGGTGCCGTGGCAGGTGCCCAGAGGGGAACCGAGTCCAGGGACGGGCCGCCCCTGAGCCAGGCCCAGCTGGACGCGGAGCCCTCACGGCCCTCCCGCCCGCCCGCCGGCCCTACCTCCAGGTACTTGATGGGGATCTTGTGCTTGGTGGCGTGCGACTGGGCCAGGGGCTTGATCTCCGCCTCGTGCTGCCCCTTCTTCTTGAGGATGCCGCCCAGCGCCGTGAGCACCGTGGTGCCGTGCTTCTTGAGGTCCTCCGAGGCCTTCATCTCGTCCTCCGACTTCAGGTGCTTGAACTTGTCAAACTTCTCCAGGGTCTCAGGGTGCCCCTTAAAGAGACTGTGGACACACGCAGGGCTGGGGTCAGCTGTGGGCGTGTGCAGTGGGGCCTGCAGGGGGCCGGACTCGAGTCTAGTCTGACCTGTGCAACCTCAGGCAACTCACTGCACCTCTCTGTGCATCTGCTTCCTCATCCAGGGAATGGGAGATGAAGTGGGATCCTACCTGCCCAGGGGTAGAAAGCACAGTGCCACGTGGCACTGCCTCCAGCTCTGCCCGCCCTGCCCAGGGCGTTGGAGAGTAGGGACGGGGCTGGAGGCCCTGGTGGCTGGGTGCCCACTCTGGCCAGGCCCCCGCTGGGCTCCGTGCCTGGGTTTCCCTTCAGGGCCACCAGATCATCCGCCTTCACAGCTGGGGAGAGGGGCCCAGGGGGGTGACGTCACAGCTGCGCTGGGTGACTCAGAGCCGTCCTCCACACGCTGGGGACCTCAGGGGTCCCACTCCCGAGCCAACTCCGTGCCCCTGTGGCTCTGCTCCCTGCACCTCCCCGTCCCTCTCCTGCCCACCCCAGGGGCCCTGAGCCCCCCTGCTCTGGCTTCCTGCTGCAGGAGGTGGGGGTGGAGGGGGCCTCCCCTGGCGGARGGAGCCCCCGTTCCACCCACGCACCATGGGGACCCCAGAGCCAGGTGACGGGCCGGGTCCCACGGCAGGTTGGTGGCAGAGCCCTGACCCAACCCAGTGCTGGACGGGGTCCCGGCCTCTCTCCCGGGCCACACCCGAGATGTGGGGGAGGCCCCGTCTCCGCAGCCCCCTCCCACCCGGAGCCTTCTGTTCCTCCAAGGTCCCTCCTCTGAGGCTTCAGGCCTGGTGGCACCTGGCAACCCCCTGGGGTCACACTCTGGGTTGCAGCCTGAGCCGCACAGTGGACCTTGGGAAGCACCCGGTCCCYGAGGTCTCTGTCCCAGGGTCCGCGGGGCGGAGCTCTGAGCTCCTCTTCTCCCCCCAAGAATGCCGTCTGGTTTCCCGCGTCTCCTCCCTAGTGAGCTCCTGAGCTTGTGGTCAGCTCTAGCCCCCAGCTCCTCTTCATAGGGACCGTGCTCCCCATTCATCCTGTGGCCGGGCAGCTGGTGACTGTGACCCTGGTCCAGCTCCYGTCCAGCCTCGGCAGCCTGACCTTGCAGCGTGGGGCGTGGTGGCTTCTGATCTGGGGGGAGCGTCCTGGCCTGGGAGCCYGGCCTCGGGGAAGCTGAGGGCCGCRGAGCGCTCCCCAAGGACAGGCTGTGCGTGCGCTCGGGCTGGGGTCCCGGTGACCCCGCCASGGGGAGTCGGTGGCCAAGTCTGCTTCCCGGGGTGCAGGTGGACCACGCACCTCGGGTCCCCACAGGTTCCCAACATGCTCACCCACGTGGGGTGGCCCTGGGTGTGTCTTCCGAGGGTGAGCAAATAGCATCTCATTAAAAACCCTGGGAGGGAGGCAGATCCCTTGACAGGTGAGGAGACCCAGGCCCAGGAGGCCCCAGGGGCTGGCTGGGGTGGTCCCTGTCACATAAAGACACCGACGTGCAATCTGCATGTGAGCCGGGCACCCCCGTGGGCTCAGAGGTGCACGTCAGTGTCCCCTGGCCAAGCACGCAGCGCTCACGCAACCTGCACCCCACGGGGACGGGGCAGCGCCTCCCCGGGAGCCTGTACCCCCGAGTGCCAGTCTGTCCACAGCCAGGACCAGCRTCCCTGCGTCACCCGGGACCCTGTCCAGAGCCACAGGCGTCACTGACGGCTTGTCTCTGGTCCCTTTCTTCCAAGGGTCCCTGAGCTGCTGACTATTATTATCTGGTGACAATGACCCTTGGATTCCTGGTGACGGTGCAAGACTTGGCACCCACAGAGGAGGCTCAAGGTCACTGAAGGAGAGTGCTTGGGACAGGAGCCGGCCAAGGAATGGGCGTCCGAGGCAGCAGGGGTCTTGGGCGTTTGGAGAGTCCCCCAAGGTCTAGGGGACAGAGTTCCGGAAGCCAGGTTCTGGCCTGGCCCTGTGTGGGAGGTCCTGTGTGGCACGGAAGAAGTCACTCAGCCTCTCTGAGCCTTGCCAACAGAGTTGGTCTAGATGATGGTTCAACCTCCAGACGCCTTTCCCACGCTCCACCCTCCGCTCAGCAGCAGAGACGAGGAGCCGCGGTTCCTGGTGGTGCGCGAGGCAGAGCCCACGGGTCTCCACTGAACCACCCTGGCACCGCSGAGCCTCTGGCCCCCATCAGCCCTGGGTCCTGCAGCGCGGCTGCCCTGGATCTGCCTGAAGGCAACACCTTGGACAGTTGGCGTCCCCGCCCCCAGGCCACCTGCAGGGGCGACCAGGCACCTTCCTCAGTGGCCCCGAGCCCGGGCKGGCTGGTCCTCGGTCCTAGCATCAGCCCCCTCTGCTGAGCCACGGAGACCCTTCACGTTCCATGGGAACAGGAGACCCAGGGTGGGCAGGAGCCCACCTCAGCTTGGCAAGACCACGGGGCAAGAGAGCAGGGTCCTAAGAGCAGGGAGGCTGAACTGAAGGTCCTGGACTTCAATCCCAGCCCCCATCTCACTAGCTGTGTGACTTCAGGCAAGTTACTTAACCTCTCTGTTAAACATGGTGATCACAACCTTGACTTCATAAGGTTGTTGTGAGGTCTACATCCGATGCACCTCCCACTGGCCTGGCATTCAGTAGGCGCTCTATAAATGTTGGCTGTCTGCCTCCTGCTCATCGTTGTCACTGTTATCATCCCGTCATTATCGTGTGGCCATCGTCACCAGGTCTCCCTCAGCTGGCCCTGACTGCTTGGCGCTCCCGGGCTGTCCCKTCCCTGTAAGGAGGCAGTCCTGGCCACAGGCGCGGCTGAGCCACAGAAATGCAAGATGAAGTGAGCAGGAGGGGAGCGGGCGGGTGGCCGAGGGGCCCTGCGGCACCAGATGGCCCTGGGCTCGGCCCGTGGAGATGAACAGACAGAGGAGGCCCCGAGGCCGTCCCRTCCGGAGCCCAGGGCTCAGAGTGAGCAGCAGGAGGGGCTGGGCCGGAGCCAGGGCTGGAGGGGCTGGACACCGGCCTCTGAAGGCCCTGGCTCCCGTGAGCGTCCAGCCTGTCGCCAGAAGCCGTGCCCGCTGCTGCTCAGGCCCCGTCCACCTGCGGCTCGCCACCAGAGAGGCGTGACCTTGCCAAGGTCAGGGAGCGAGACCAGGGGCCCGAGGCCAACGTCCTGGACAGTTGGCGTCCCCCCAGGAGCCCCACCCTGCACCCCAAGCCCCCAGAGGCGGGGGCAGCGGGCCAGGTGCCAGCCCAAGACAGACAGGGCGCCACGCCCGCTGGGGCCAGCCAGGGGCCAGCCTGGGCGTGGTGTCTTGCCGCTGGCCGCTGGCCGCTGGCCCCTGGCAGGCCTCTCTGATGCGCCCTGGAAGGGAGGAAAGGTCCCGAGTCCCCTTCAAGATGTCCAAGTCACTGCTGGGGGCCGGGCCACTCTGCCGTCTCCCCCKCGGCTCCCGCCAGCCCTGCGTCCTGAGAGCAGGGCAGAAGACCACCCTCGCTCAAGCCCTAGGGAAACAGCCCAGAGAGGGCCAGGGACTGCTCCAAGGCCACACAGGAACTCGCTGGCTCGGGGTGGACGAGAGGCGGGGAGCCATTAGGTGGGGCCTGCTGCAGCCCAGCAGTGGCTGCCGGTGACAGGGACAGAGACAGGGAGCAGCTTCCTTCCAACCAYCAGGGCTCCCAGATAACCTTGCTGGCTGCGGGGCTGCTCCCCAGCAGGTAGGAGGGGACAGCGAGTCCAAGGGAGGCCAAAGGTCATCTGAGAGGGGAGGAGACTGTCCCCCCAGGGARGGGAAAAGCGTTTGCTCAGAGAGGTTGAGTATCTTCCCTAAGGTCACACAGCTGCTCTGCAACAGATCCCTGTAGGCATCCCAACCGGACTCCCCTTGGAAGTCATGCCTCAGCTTTGACATTTCATGGACTTTAATGAGCTTGTGGCTCTGGGGACACCTTCCCCTCTGGGTCCCCTTMGTAAGTCAAGTGGTGAGACAAGATGGTGCAGGGCCTTGGCTGGCTCTGTGCATAATTCTAAGACTCTCCCCGAGGGGTTCAGGGCTTCCCCGGCTGCTGACCTCGGCCGGGATGGGTGCTTGTCCTCTCCTGAGCYGGGTCCCCGACTCTGGAGGCAGAGAAAACCGCCTCGTCTCCGCAGCCAACTGGTCTACCCAGGGCCGCCTTCTCCTTCAACCATGTCTGAGCTCTCTGGGGGGCGGCGGGTCGGGGTCCTTCCTGGTTACCTGATGAGGACTTGCTGCCCGTGGCCGGCGAGGTCGGTCTCCACCTTCCCCCAGATGTTCAGCACCAGCTGCCATTCTGCGTCGCTGAGCCCCATGGCACTGAGGACAGAAAGAGCAGGTGCTGTGGCCCTGGGTGCTGTGTCCCTGGGTGCTGTGTCCCTGGTGCTGTGTCCTGGCTCGGGTGGGGGCTGCCGGCCCAATGGGCTTTTATACCCCCTGCTGCCGCGCTCCCGCCCCCTCCCCTCCGCAGGGTCTAATCTCTGCCTTCTCCTGCCTCACATGGGAGCTATTTTGGGGCAGGTGCCATTGTGGACAGGGCCAGGACAGCTCAGGCCACGGGGAGGGCTGGTGTGGAAAGAGCCAGCGGGAAGGGCACAGCCAGGCCCCTGCCAGCGCCGTGACACCCGACGCTGCCTCCCGGTCCGTCCCYGGCTGGGCACCGGCGCCCACTGGCCCCAGGACTGCCCTGACCCCGGCAGCCTCCTGGGTCACGTCCTGCCCATTTTCCTGGATGCCCCTCGACCACCAGGACGGGAGGGAGGAGCCCGGTGCTGTGTGTAGCCAGCTCAGGGCAGGTCCCCGGGCCCCTCGGGGACTCCTGGCTTCAGGCCCTGCCCTGCCAAGTGGCTCGGGTCCTCCCCAGGGGGCTTGGCCTCGTGTGCACAGGTGCTGCCCACGGCCGGCTGCTGGTGCCTCCTCATCCCYAGCCTCTCTGCGACAGTGGCCGGCTCTCGCAGACCCCACCAGGGACCAGGCCCCTTGRAGGGGAAGCTGGTCACACAGCGGCTGGTGGCAGAGCCACCTTGGGAGCCGGCTGCCAGGCCCCA